TATTAGTTTACATTAAAATAGTTTGTGGATTTCTCTCAGAAGTCAACACCAGCCCTCACCTACATGTATATGTACCTGAACAAACCAACCAATTAACATTCTCGGCTCTGAAGGAAAACATTGTATTCATTTAAGGGGTGGGGTGATGAGAGGAAATTTGATCACCTGTCAGTCCATTAAATATGAAAGATTATTTTGGAATATTTGTATACAACTGTGTGGCTTTCTTAGAACCAAATAAGTATTTGTTAGAAAAATTACATAATTATTTAGCTGTTTAAGATTTGTTACATATTTGTAAGAACACTATTTACAAAACAAAGTTTCATCCTTTTATGGATGCTGTGATATATTTGATAGGCTGTTTAATTACAATTTGGATATACTGCCATTCAAACGACTAACACATTTTTTTTTAATATTACCAAAGGTCCTGATCTAAAACAAATTGACAAACCCAGACCACTAGGTTTTATTAAGAACACTTAAGTCTGAAAACGTTCGTTCATTGAAGTTAATTTGGACATAAAAAAGTCCGACAATTTTCAACCTTGTTTGCTATAATTTACCGAATCGGATCTTTTTTCTGTATAAATGCATGGATGAAGGATAAAAAACTGTAAGCTGGTCATTCAAAACACATCATTGTGATTGTGTATTTAATTTATGGAGACATGTTTTTTTCTGATTTTCTTATCTGTGAATTATTCGTTTGCTATGTACACAAGGATGTGTTCATACTGCTGTTCATACGTGCTATCAATGTGATCAGAGAGAACAAGATATCCCCCAGCAATTTATTTCTAATTATGAAAACACTCAATGAAAACAAATTAGGTGAAAATAAATCTACTAATGTCTAATTGCGATGTCACCAACCGTTACAATGCCTGACCAGAAGGAATTTAATATTACCTTTATTAAAAAAACTCATTATCAGCTGAGCAGACCAATAATTTAAGTACCTCAAATAAACAGAAATTCAAGATTTAATTGATAATTTATGTTAGAGATAAAAAGAAACATACAGTATAGAGGGATATACAGTATAGAGGGAATTTTCTATTTTTTTTTTCTTCGTATTCTGAAAACTCAGGATGTATATATTTTGGGCGCTCTTCCATGTAAAACTGCATGTACTTACAAGCATGTACACGTAAAATTGTGTAGTTGGGATATTCTGTTTATTTGATGAAATATAAGAAATGCATAAGTATATCATTCTGTACAATACAATTATAAATTTGGTTGCAAATAATGCAAATTCAGAAGTGATTAATTTAATTTTCGATTTTCCTGAGAATTGGAAATGTCACCTCCACTTACCATTGTCATGCATGTGTATATGCAGTTAGTTTAAAACATGAGACAGAAAAATAAATTATTGCAAACCTAGTGGTTAAGTCGGCAATTAAAATGCATAAAACTAGAAATGAATAAATGCACAGGCGGTTAGGATTGATAAAAATAAGCATGACATAGAGTGAAATAAAATAATATGTAAGATTCGAAATGATTTCAAACCCAATTTTCCATTAATCGCTATTAGTACACATTGCATTTTAATTAACACCGATATGACCATGGCTTGCTGATGTCTGCGGCCACATTTGAACGAGGAGTGGGATACAAAATTTAAACACAAAGCAACAGAGCTGAATGTAAACTGTGCGCTGTAAGAAGGTGTGAATTATTGTATGTTTAAAAGTATTAAACTTTTAAAAGTTGAAAAGTTCACAGACATTTAACACGTATGCAAAAGGCAGATGGAAGTCGGACACTTTTTGATCAGAAAAACTCATAAGCTTTCAGCTCAGGTAAACTACAAAGTCAGTGAGTCTGCTCCTTTTTACCTGGTCACTTTAGAAGTTATCAAAATACCCCAGCTTAAAAACAGCATTTTTGTTTTCTTCCTTAGTGTATGGTTGTGAATCTTTCTTCAAACAGAATTTCTTCCTTCTTCTGACCTTTAAAACCTTTCATACTTTTTTTTATTTAACCTCTTGCTTATATGTTGAAATAATTTTCATTTAATCCTGGACGCTGATTCTCTCAAACTGCTACAAATCACTTTTTCTATTCTTTAAAAATTTCACTCGTTCTTAGGGTTGCAACGGTTCTGAAATTTTTCAGTTAATTGTTTGGTTCAGTTTTTTTTGTGCTTCAGTCTCTTTCTTTCTTTGCTCCATTTTATAATACTTACAAGTAATATTGCATGTAGTTGAAAGTACCATTGAAAATTTTCGCAGATTGAAAAGAACATTGTCAACCGAGTCCAGTCCAGTATGACAGTGGTTTGTGAGGGGAGAAAGATTTCTATGTGTGACCTCTAACTACATGCTATATTTGTTTTCTTATGCTTAATGCTATACACAAATATATACATACTGTAAACCATATGAACATACATTTCTTGCATGTACATGTAATAATTTTCATAACATCACCCATTGTCAAGTAATATTTCACATTTCTATTACAATTTGACAAGGTATTGCACTTCAGTCTGTATGCTACCAGGGGAGAGATTTTTAAAGAATAAATGCATTTTCACTGTACGATCAATATAGCCCTACCCTAACACCAGAGCCGCTGACCATGGGGCCATGAATTTTACAATTTTGGAAGAGGTATCCTTGGTCATCATAACCAATGTCCATGTACTTCATAAAAAAATATGTCTGCAAAATCTTCAAGGGGAGAGAGAACTTGTGCATTTTCATTATATAATTAATAGAGCCCCACCCTAACACCTGAACATCTAACTCTTAGGCCACAAATTTCAAAATTTAGGTAGAAGTCTCGATTCTCACCATAAACATACCATCAGCTACACTTCTTGATGTTCAGGGCATCTAAATTAATGGTAACCCCCTCCCCCCATCAAGACCGGAATTGGTATTTGTTATTTCATTCAAAGGTAACTGTTTGGTCACAAATCAAATAGTGTATATAGCCCCAAAATTTTTAGAATTTTGCTTGCAATTACTCTGAAGGAGACACATTCTGAAAAGCGATTTTTCATACATTCAAGTTGTTTTCATAACACAACACGTCACATGGCGTAGTGGTTAGAGCACCTGCTCTAGTGTCGCGGAGTAGGGAGTTGATCCTTATGTGTCAGGTTCAAATCCCACTGTGGGACGTGGAGACCGGTCGGTCCTTCAGATGAGACTTCATAAACCAAGGTCCCGTGTCGCAGTAGGTGCTGGCATGAAAAAGATCCCTCACTGCTGAATGGCCCCGAGAGCCAAGAATATGCCAAAATTTGCAGCTCACCACCAGCAAGTGGTCACTGTGATCTACTTTTGAGTCATCATGATATGAGGTCTGAAGATGCATCAACTGACAATATTTGATGATCCTAGGCCTTGTAGTGGGCAAAATATAAAAGATTTAACGAAACATAATTTTTTATCAATTTTGAAGTGACCTTGAGACCACGCCCTTTACCCAAGGGTAAATCTCCATGCAAATTTTAATCTACAACATATCCTCATCCTTTGTGCAAGTTTGGTGATAATCTGCCCAGTGGTTCTTGAGAAGAAGATTTTTTAGCAACCAGTACTTTCGATTCATTTTCCTAATTATCTCCCCTTGTTTAAGGGTCACAACCCTAGTTTTAGTGTAAACTGGAGCCCTTGGGCCAAGGATACCCTGTGACAAATTTGACAATAATTGGCCAAGGGGTTCTTGAGCTATGGCCCATATTCAAAAAAGTTTACGCACACCGCATAAAATGGCCAGAGCATTAGCTCTTTGAGCCTTTGGCTCAGCAGAGCTAAAAGTCAAATTATCATAAATTGATTTGTAAGATGTTGTGTTTTAAGGTAACAATCAATAAATTGCCAATTTATGACTTATCATTTAAAGGAATGGCATATAGGCTGCATCTACTTGTATTGTTATATACAAAAGAGTTCCTTGTATTGTAGTGTACACAAAAGGGTTGATCAATACAAGGAGAATGTCTTCAATCTATCTGAAAATGTATGGGAAACAGACTATATTCAAGATTTATAACTCTCTCTGACAGTTGTTATGAGATAAAAAATTGTTATAATGAAATGTTTTTTTGTGTGTGCATTTTTGTGTTTCTTCCATAAAGATAAATATTTCTAAATACAATATTCTTAATACTATGCAAGAAGAAGAATGACAAAGTATAAAAATGTAATCAGGTTAATATTAAGAAGGGGGTAGATTTCACTTTTAAATTTTATTAAAAATTTCACTTACAAATTATTGTACAGTGTCGGTAGCTACATGATAAATAAGTTAACCATTTCTGAATTGCTGAATTTTAATACCACAAGATCCCACTGATAGTGAAGGAGCACTCAGGCAAAGCTAGAAATTGACAAACTTAAAAAAAAATTAGTTATCTTGATCTGCTGTAAACAAGTTCTGGTAAGGAGTTATTGTTCTTTACATCGAACCCTAGTGGCAATTGAAAGGCCTACAGAAAGCTTTTAAAAAGATAAGCCTAAACTGAACCAAAGTCTGGAATAATACAGAAGCTAAACAAGCTGTGTAAACAGCAGTTTTCTCTTTACACGGAGAATCAAGAACCGTTGCAACCCTAATTCTCTTTATAGTGTCTCTCTGAGATCATTTATCAGATCTAGGGAACAGAACGCACAACATTACTCTCTACCAGCTCTGTTTTATATGACAACAATAATACACTTACACAAACTCAAAACAATTAATCCTGAAAAATAATGATCTTTGAACACTCCCTTTCTTACTGTCAAGATATCAGCTCACAGAGTTCTCGCATCTCTCTTGAATCTGACTTATTCCCTCCTTTTTTTGAAAAGTTCTCATCCCATTTCTTTAAGCTATTTCCATTTTATCTTCTTGATCAGTCCAACAATGCACACTTTGCTTCCAACTCTGTTCACTACTTCACACACAATTCTTTTCCAAATTTCTCACAGGTGATTTTAAAAAAAATGTATGTATAAACTATTGTTACCCCCCCCCCCCCCCCAGTATTTCATAAAAAAATAAAAATGGTTCACCCCTTACTTGAAAATTTGTAGTTCCTCAAGCCATCCCATACAACCAGGTCAAACACAATCTCTTGATTTAGCTATAAAGCTTTATTACGCTATTCAGAATAGCTTGATTTAGCTATTTAATCATACTATTTTCTTAAATGTGTTACTCTTTTAGCATGTACAAAAAGTTGCACCCTGGTGCAGTAATAGTATTCAACCTTGAACTCTTCTGAAAACAATACTAATTGCTCATCAAACTGTGTCTCCTTGAGAGACTATGGAGCTATAAAAAGGAACTGAATGAAATTTAAAGAAGGTCAATTCTGGTCAACAAGTTGATTGCAATGGTAATAATTCAGCAAAATTTGAAGCAATCATACTTATCTACGCCTCAGGGAACACAAGGTGGTGTACATGCAGTTATCCAAACAATGGAATATTTTTGCTTAAAAGCATTCAATGTTGAAACGTTATCACTATCTTTGATTTGGGTTGCTTTTTTAATAGTCCATAGTACATATATTTGCGACTTTTTATCTATTTCTTACAAAAAACATTTTTGTATATAAGCTTTATCAAGCTATTCTGAATAGCTTAATAAAGCTTTAAAACTTTAATTCAAGCTATATAGCTAAATCAAGAGACTGTGCTACACCTGATACTTTGTCTTTCTCAATTCACATTTCATTTTATAGTTTTAGCTCCAACCACTTGCCCCTCCCCTCCCACTCCAACCACTGTACCCACCTCCTTGACTACTAGCTTGAGTATCATAGGCCCACCCACTGTAGCTTTGACTCCCACTATCTGGACGACTGGAGCCACGATAACTCTGGGTCATAGTCTGGTCCTGACTACCTGCTGGCTGTTGGTTTGTCCCCATTCCGGCCCAACCTCCCTGTCCCGTCAGCACAGCTTGTGCTGCTGCCAACATGGCAGTGTTTAGGAAATTCATACCCATATTTTGATCCATAGCTGTCTCATTTCTGATTGACTGGGTGTTGTCCCCCCTCCGTTTAAGTCGATCATAATCACCCCTATCCCGTTCCCTCCTTCCATCTCTATCACGACCACCTTGTCGTTGGTCATCATACTTCCCAAGTGATTTGGGAGTGGCACTGCTGACATGAACGCTTGTTCCCTTGATAATGTGATCTTCTCCACAGAGACTCTGGGCTATCTCTGGATCCATAAATGTTACAAAAGCAAAGGCCCGAAAAGGTTTAGGTATAAACACGTCAGACACTTCACCAAATTTACTGAAGTATTTGTGAAGATCATCAGTAGTGATGTCCTCAGAACAACGTGCTATGAATACCTTTCTGTTCATTGGTGGTCCACTCTGTTCCTGTAAGTAAAAAGAATATAAATATACAGTGAAGCCTCATTTATCTGGACACTTTGGTTCCCAAACAAAATCGTCAGGATACATGTAGGTGAAGTGTCCAGATACCTAAATTGCCTTGATTTTTAGTTTTATGGCCTTTCATACCATTGGCAATAGTGAAGAATGCTGTTTAATATCAATATGTTTTATAATATACACTAGTACCAATCAGTAACACTTGTTTAAATAAAATAAAAAAGTACATTGTCATTGGATGAACATTATTTATATGGCCATATTAATTATTTCTGCTTCCAAGTTTCTAATGTCATGAATGAATTTCCCCTAGCCAACTGTCTGTAGAGCTGGTAGAGAAACAAACTATTGGTAGAGTTTTATTTTAATATGAAGGCTCATCCATTCTTAATGTGACATTAACTGCACATGTATATGTATATGCTAATCATCCCAAGCAAGATCGCATTGTGTAATTTGGATTGTGATTCTCTAAATGTCATCAAATTACAGAATCTGTTCTGTATTTAAAATACTGTCACAGTGCATAAAACAAGAGGCCCGTGGGCCACAATGCTCACCTGAGTAAGTTTGGCTTTTCTGGACCAGTGGTTCTTGAGAAGAAGATTTTTAAAGATTTCTTTCTATATACTTCAATGTAAAAATTGGATTCTCTATTGTGGCCCCGCCCTACCCTGGGGGTCATGATTTGAACAATTTAGAATTAACACTACCTCAGGATGCTTCCACACAAGTTACAGCTTTTCTGGACCAGTGGTTCTTGAGAAGAAGATTTTTAAAGATTTCTTTCTATATATTTCAATGTAAAAATCGGATTCTCTATTGTGGTCCCATCCTACCCCGGGGGTCATGATTTTAATAATTTAGAATCTGCACTACCCCAGGATGCTTCCACATAAGTTTCAGCTTTCCTGGCCCTGTAGTTCTTGAGAAGAAGATTTTTTAATGACCCCACCCTATTTTTGTTCTTTCTTGATTATCTCAAGGGCACTTGGCCCTTCATTTCAACAATTTAAAATCCCCTTAACTAAGGATGCTTTGTACCAAGTTTGGTTAAAATTGGCCCAGTGGTTCTTGAGATGAAGTTGAAAATGTGAAAAGTTTACCGATGGACGGACAGACGACGGGCAATGGGTGATCAGAAAAGCTCACTTGAGCTTACAGCTCAGGTGAGCTAAAAACTCTGGTGTCATGTCTGTAAGTAAAAATACATAAAACCAATATTACAACTGTATTCTAACAGTAAATATAATATATTTGCCGACTATGAAAAATTTATTGACATATAAAATTATTTTCCTTAATTAAATACCTATCAAGTTCATGTCCAAAAAGCAAGAGTCTCGTGGGTATATATATCGACCAATAATTAACCTTGCAGCAAGTCACTGATAATAGGTCACAGGTGATCATCTTTTAAAACAAACATCCAGGCCAGTGTTTTTACAACCCAGCCCAAGAAATTTGAGCAGAGATGACTGACCAAGTAAAAAGTTACCAACGTCATAAATGAACCAAGATATAATGTAACAAGATGTGTTTGTGAAACACTGATGCCCCCGTATGGCAACTTACAGCAAAGGTTAAACTTTCTCAAATGCAAATCAAATATGTTGAAACTCAAAGTAAGGTCTTGTCTCGAGGAATAAACCTGTGAAATATGAAAGGCCTAGCAGGAACCATTGAACAGATATGGAAAAGGTTAAAGTTTTTTCAAAGTATGTCAAACATCAAGGTCAAAAGGTCAAAATTAATGGTGCCAAAGGAAAGGCCTTCTCCCAAGAAATACACAGGTGAAATATGAAATCCGAAGCACCAATCGTTCAAAAGTTATGGCCAAGTTAAAGTTTTAAAAAAGTAGGTCAAACTCTAAGGTCAAGGTCAAAGGGTCCAAGCTGTTGGTATCCAAAGAAAGGTCTTGTCTCAAGGATTACATATGTGAAGTATTAAGCCTAGCACCAACCGTTCAAAATTTATGGCCAAGGTTAAAGTTTTCCAAAAGTAGGTCAAACTCCAAGGTCAAAGGGTCAAAGTTGTTGGTATCCAAAGGAAGGTCTTGTCACAAGGATTACACATGTGAAATATGAAAGCCCTAGCACCAACTGTTCAAAAGTTATCACAAAGGTTAAAGTTTTCCAAAAGTAGGTCAAACTCCAAGGTCAAAGAGTCAAAGTTGTTGGTATCCAAAGGAAGGTCTTGTCACAAGGATTACACATGTGAAGTATGAAAGCCCTAGCACCAACCTTTCAAAAGTTATGGCCAAGGTTAAAGTTTGGTAAAATTTTGCAAAACTGGGTCAAACTCCAAGGTCAAAAGGTCATATATGGTGGTACCCAAGGAAAGGTCTTGTCATAATGAACAGTCATGTCAAATATTTAAGCCTTACCCTTGACAGTTATGGGCTAGGTTAAAGTTGACAACAGACAGACAGACAAACAGACAGACAGGACAATATACCCCCAGGATCTTTCGATCTAGGGCATAAAAATGCATTCTGTGGTGAAAAAAGACCATCCAGATAGATAGGTATATATATATATATATATATATATATATATATATATATATATATATATATATATATATATATATGAGATGTCAAATTGGTCAATATTAATTTGTTGAAATGCATCTGGTGCATCAAACTTGGTATTGTACAGTCAATTCTCGAATTATCGCCATTTGATTCATCGCCATTCTCACAATAATGCCATGATTTTTGAAGAACGTTTTTTTTTTCCTGCTATATAAAATTCTCTTTATAACGCCAAATTCGCATACCGCCATCCACCACCCTGTTTTCACAACAAACGTGCATTTCAAGGTGTGGAGGACAAACTTTTACTAGGATCTTGTGTAACATTGTTGATAGATGCATTAATACTAGAAATACTAATGAAAAATCATAGTAAAAGGCATTTTTATGCCCCTTGATCAAAAGATTCCGGGGGTATATTGTTTTTGTCCTGTCTGTCTGTTTGTCTGTTGTCAACTTTAACCTTGCCCATAACTTTTGATTGGTTGGAGCTATGACTTTCATATTTCACATGTGTATTCCTTGTGACACCATTCTTGGATACCATCATATTTGACCTTTTGACCTTGACCTTGGACTTTGACCCACTTTTGCAAAACTTTTTGAGACTTTAACTTTGGCCATAACTTCTGAACAGTTGGTGCTTGGAGTTTCAAACTTCATAGGTATATTCTTTGTGACAAGGCATTCCTTGGATACCAACAACTTTGACCTTTTGACCTTGGAGTTTGACCTACTTTTGATATACATTCACCTTGGCCATAACTTTTGAACAGTTGGTGCTTGGGGTTAAAACTTCACATGTGTATTCCTTGTGACAAGACCTTCCTCTGGATATCAACCTCTTTGTCCTTTTGACCTTGACCTAGGAGTTTGACCTACTTTTGAAAAACTTTAACCTTAGCCATAACTTTTGAATGGTTGATGCTAGGGCTTTCATACTCCACATATGTAATCCTTGTGACAAGACCTTTCTTTGGATACCAACAACTTTAACCTTGACCTTGAAGATTTCTTACTTTTAAAAAACTTTAACCTTCGCCACAACTTTTGAACAGTTGCAGCTAGGGCTTTCACTGGTATATTCCTCGAGACAAAACCTTTCTTTGGGTACCAACATTTTTTATCTTTTGGCCTGGATTTTGACTTGCATTTGAGAAACTTTAACCTTCGCCATAAGCTGCCATACGGGGGCATCAGTGTTTCACAAACACATCTTGTACTCTACGCAAAACAGTTTATCTTATCTTGCAGCGCCCAGGGGTGGGTGGGGCACAACCCAACAGAAATCCCTTGACAATAGGCCCAGGGGCCACATCGCTCACCTGAGCACTCTGGGTAGGAAAAAGCAGAAATCAGTTCAGTCTTGAAAAGTTTTGATATCAAAGTGGTTCGAAGGGGGGGGGGGGGGGGGGGAATTTGAACTTGAATCTATACTTCAAAGGAATGCTTTTGAATTAATATGACAACTAATGCTGTTCTTAGGAAGACAATTCTTATTGATATATCATTTGTATTCCTTTGTATAACTATGATCCCCTGTTATGGCCCCTCTATTCTCCTGGGGGGTTATGATTTGAACAAAATTTGAATCTACATTACCTGAGGATGTTTGCATTTAAATATGACTAATTATTGCTTTGCTGTTCTTCATCAGAAGATTTTAAAAGGCTTGCTTTTTCCTATGTATTCCTATGTAAAACTTTGATCGCCCATTGTAGCCCCACCCTACCCCTGGGGGGTCATGATTTAAACAAACTTGAATCTACACTACCTGAGGATGCACCCATAGAAAAAAACCAAACATGGCTTTGCTGTTCTTGAGAAAAAGATTTTTACAAATTTTTCCTATGTATTTTGCATAAAACATTGATCACCCATTGTGGCCCCACCTTACCCCCGGGGTCATGATTGGAACAAACTTGAACCTGCACTACTTGAGGATGCTTCCGTATAAATATGACCAATCTTGGCTTTGTTGTTCTTGTGAAGAAGATTTTTAAAGAGTTTTCCTATTTATTTCTATGTAAAACTTTGATCCTCCATTGTGGCCATGCCCTACCCCCAGGGGTCATGATTTTATGATTGGAACAAACTTAAATCTACACTACCTGAGGATGCTTCCATATAAATATAACCATTCATGGCTTTGCTGTTCTTGAGAAGAAGATTTTTAAAGAATTTTCCTATATATTCCTATGTAAAACTTTGATTGTCCATTGTGGCCCCACCCTACCCCTGGGGGTCATGATTTGAACAAACTTGAATCTACACTACCTGAGGATGCTACTACATAAATATAACCAATCATGGCTTTGCTGTTCTTCAGAAAAAGATTTTTAAAGAGTTTTCCTATATATTCCTATTTAAAACTTTGATCATCCATTGTGGCCCCACCCTACCCCTGGGTGTCATGATTTGAACAAACTTGAATCTACACTACCTGAGG